TTCAGCATCTTTATTAATGACCTGGATGAGGGGATGGATTACACCCTCAGCAAATTTGCAGATGACACTAAGCTAGGGGGAGAGGTAGATATGCTGGGGGGCAGGGATAGGATCCAGAGTGACTTGGACAGGTTAGAGGATTGGGCCAAAAGAAATCTGATGAGGTTCAACAAGGACAAGTGTAGAGTCCTGCACTTGGGATTGAAGAATCCCAAGCATTGTTACAGGCTGGGGACCGAATGGCTAAGTAGCAGTTCTGCAGAGAAGGATTGGGGATTACAGTGGATGAGAAGCTGGATATGAGTCAACAGTGTGCCCTTGTAGCCAAGAAGGCTCATAGCATATTAGGGTGCATTAGGAAGAGCATTGCCAGCAGATTCAGAGAAGTGACTATTCCCCTTTATTCGGCTCTGGTGAGGCCACGACTAGAATACTGTGTCCAGTTCTGGCCCCCCCACTATAGAAAGGATGTGGTCGCATTGGAGAGGGTCCAGCACAGAGTGACCAAAATGATTAGAGGGCTGGAGCACATGACCTATGAGGAGAGACTGAGGGATTTGGGTTTGTTTAGTCTGCAGAAGAGAAGAGTGAGGGGGGATTTGATAGCAGCCTTCAACTTCTTGAAGGGAGGTTCCAAAGAGGATGGAGAGAGGCTGTTCACAGTAGTGACGGATGGCAGAATAAGGAACAATGGTCTCAAGTTGCAGTGGGGGAGGTCTAAGTTGGATATTAGGAAAAACTATTTCCCTAGGAAGGTGGGAAAGCCTTGGGATGGGTTATCTAGGGAGGTGGTGGAATCTCCATCCCTAGGGCTGCGTCTACATTGGCACCCTTTTCCGGAAAAGGGATGCTAATGAGACCAGTCGGAATTGCAAATTCAAGTAGGAATAAGGGATCTTCCGGAAAAGGATGCCTGATATTAAATCAGGATAGTGATAACTGGCATCAAAGAATCTTGGTGGAATGAAGATAAACACTGGGGCTACGTCTAGACTACAAACCTCTTTCGATAAACTACTACTTTTGAGAAAGCAAGCCACTTTTTGGAAAGAGAGCACCCTGGCAGTCTGTATGCTCTCTTCTGGAAAAAAGCCCTGTTTGCATTCAAGAAGGCCTTTTTTCGAAAGGCTAAGTTGAGTCCTCACATAAACAGAGCTACATGAACTTATCTGGGAGAAGATTTTGATCCTTAGTTTGTTTTAAAACATAACATTGGATTTCTGAAACATTTAGGATTTTCAAAGCCTTTTGCTTAAGTCACTATTTAAGTGTCAAACACGGCAAAATCCTTCTGGTAATACAGACATGAAAGTGCATTTTTGAGGGACCAAAAGTATTTTCCCATGCTCTTAAAAGTTCCCAGTTGGCTCATTAGCTTGAGTCAGAGAGATGTCTAAATACGATCATAGGTTAAATTCATACAGACAATGTCTCTCCCTCTTTGTTTTCTCTGACACTTCCCAGTATATAAATGCCTCTGTCAGTAAAATCTGTGAACAGTCATAATCCTGATGGTGTAATTCATTTAGACTTGGCATTTTTAAGTCACAATTTCCAGCCATACTACTTAAATGCTCTGTTACACAGTACAGGCAGTCCCCGAGTTACGCGGATCCAACTTATGTCGGATCCGCACTTACGAACGGGGCTTTTCTCGCCCCGGAACTCGCGGGCGGTGGGACCACCCAGACGCGCAGTGGTCCCGCCACCGCGTCCTCTGGGGTGAGAAAAGCTGCTTCGGGTGTTCCTGGTCTGCTGGGGGACGCCCCCAGCAGACCAGGAACACCCCGAGCAAAGCCTTGGAGGCGCGGGACCCCGCCGCCTCTGCGGCTTTACTCAGGGTGTCCCTGGTCTGCTGGGGACCCCCCCTGCAGACCAGGGACACTCGGAGCAGCTTTTCTCACCCCGGAGGACGCGGTGGTGGGACCACTGCGCGTCTGGGTTGTCCCACCGCCTGCGAGTTCCGGGGCGAGAAAAGCCCCGTTCGTAAGTGCGGATCCGACGTAAATCGGATCTGCGTAACTCGGGGACTGCCTGTATATACTTCCCTTTTGATAATCAGTTTATCACTATGATGTCTTGAATACTCTGCAGAATGGTGATTAATATTCCTTAGTATGGAATATCCAATGTAACAGTTTTGTTGGCCAGTAATGCATTATGTTTTGCCACTATAGAACATACCAGATGATTTTTCACACTGATTTTCTTCACTAAAGCTTTTTTTAAATATCCTTTTGTAGCGTTATGTTTTGTACCCCATAGCACTATGATGGTCTATACTATTATGTTTTTTACTTTCATAAGTGTAACAGGGCAAAACGTGATGTTTACCACCATGGCACTTCTGTCTGACCATTATTGGAATTAGCTCTCTGTTTTAGGGATGTAATAAGTCAATTAACCAATTAGAAAAGCTTATCCATTAATGCTGTAGACTAAATGCATTTTTCTTCTCCCCTTGCCAGTATATTTTTTAGCAGGCTGGCCAGCATCCTGGCTCAGTCCCGGCTTACGCCGGGTCCAGGACCTACCCTGCTGCAGCTCTGCATTTAAAGTGTATTAGGAGCTAGGCAGGCAGGCAGCCTGGCTCCATTCTAGCTTGCACCGGGTCTGGGATATCAGACCCTCCCCCCATGTAATTGTGGGATTTTTTAAAAGTGATTTTCCTTTAGAAAATGCACATGTAAAATATAAGCCCTGTGCAGACTAGAGTGGAAACAAATCCTGAAGGGAAGTGGATGAGAGGCTGAATTTTCATTTGTCATTAGTTTGGTCAATTACATCTCTGCTAGATGGGAGATCCAAGAACAGAAGTGAAAATAAGAATTGCTGACATCTCAAAGCTGAGTGAAGAACCCTCCCATTTAAAGGAATGTTGTAGTGATGTCCTTTTCATTGTCTTCTGTAGTTTAAAATTTGCAGTCAACTTTTGATTGAGTATATATTTTAAATGCAGTTTTAGTTCTAGAGCAGGTCAAGTAGAAAAACATTGTTTGAAATATAGTCAGTGAATTTTGCAATTTTTTTTAAATGATGTATTCTCTGAAGGCTCAATCTTTTCTTTGATCTGAGCAAGGAATACTGTGGTATTGTATACACCCTGAAGTAGATGGCTTTGAGAGTCACCCTTTACCTTCCGCATTCACTGTTGTTCTGAGAAAAGGAAGTCTGCCCATGTAGAGTTTTCACAATTGCCAGGTCTCCTCACGCAGAGCTGCTTGCAGGTTCAAGGCTTCATTTTGTATTTGGGAGTGGGAACAGGTAGAGAAATCTTTAGGAAATAAGTGAGTGGTTTTATCTTGGTTGGAAAGTTGGCTTCATAATGTGCACTTTTCTTGAGTCTCAACAGAAAGGGCTTCAAACTAAGTACCCTCTCATGTCTAAGTGATCCAATCAAAATATGATAGAGGCATTCTACTAATGGAGTGTATGGAAGCAGTCATTTGAATAACTCTCCTTCAACAGCTGTCATTTTGTTATTTGTAAAAGCAACCTACCAAGAGTGCAATTTCACCTTCACCGTACACTGGAATGAGGAAAAAAGCAGGCAATATTTAGCCTTGTGCAAATGTTTTTTTTTTAATTTTTTCTATTTTGTACATCTATGCTTAAAAATGGGAGATGCAGATTTTTGGAAATGTGATCTCATCTTTACAGTGGAATATTTGAGCATTTATTTTTAGTTGTAGAAAGTCCAGATAGTGATCTTAAAATCCTGACATGATGCTATAGATTTTAGAACATTTAAAAATGCTTGATAGCAGTTTCAGTGCCCTCAAAGTCTCCTTTGTTTAGACTGATAATATTGAAGTAGGCTGGCTGTAAAAATAGTAGCATACACAAATGAGTACCAAATAAACTTTGTTTTTTAAATATGTGGCTGGGGAGAATGAAGAAGATATCTGGTCCTTTTAAGGAAATAAGGGAACAACAATAGCTGAGCCATTAATTCGGAAGATGCGGTTCCGCGTGTCAGCTGAAAGTTACATAGTTGTTTTACTAAATTGAGATCCTAGGGATCAAAAGGATGGTAAAGCTTTAAAAAGACCAGTTGGAGGTGGAGATGAGTTGCCAGCAGAGAGAGGGGTAGAGAATACTGGTTAGTGGGGTCAGTTTTTCTCTTCCAGCTAAGAGAAAGAGTAATGTCTGAGTTGAGCATACCCTTCCTGAACTAGCAAGTATAGGAAAAAGTTTAGATGAGATTGCGTATGCTTTGGTAGCTTAAACCCTTTTCTCCGATCACTGTGTACCTTTGGATGAATAAACAACACTTGTTTTGAAAATGCTGTTTTGAGTCATTCTAATTAGCTGCTGGTCATGGCCTCCTGAAGGGAGTTTTTGCTGGTGCCAAAACATTTAGGTCTGTATTAATATGGTTAGATAATAGGGGTTGTAACCCAGTGATCCACTCTGTCTGATTGAATTGCAAGGGGAGGAAAACATGAAGAATGCACTTCAGAGAGTCTGAGAAGAAGTCTAAGGCTTTAACTATGACAGTGGCATATACAGAATACATGATAGTGTTGTTTGATATTGAGACCTTATTGGTACTCCTTAGGAACAAACTGCATAAGTTACTTGCGATTCCACCACCCAGAAGTAATGGTAACCATTACAAATCATGTTGATAAAATCTTTATTTAAGCCACACCACCATGTATACTTTGTTTACATACTATCTCTTGTTTTAGTGATCATTAGGGCATTGTTACTGGGTATCCATGGTATTCAGGGTTTTTTTAATGTATTGGATATGGAGCATTGTAATGAACAGGTAACTCAATATCCCTGCCACGCACCATTTGTAGTCTGACCTAGTGTGTTAAGTGATGTTACTACTCCACATGAATTTGGGCATATTGTTTCCAATACAGTATTAATAAATAAATTACATATCATTTGTTTTGATTTTCAAAAAAAAAAATGTCTTGGTCAAGTGTCACATAGTATGAGAATCTAAACTTTATTGCCTCCTTTTTAAACTTGTATTTACTCAGTGGAACAAGTTCCTGTGGAGCCATACTACATTCCTCTGTCTCAAGCTGAGGTACTTCAGGAGGGAAGTGATGTTACACTGGTTGCCTGGGGGACTCAGGTCAGTAAGTCTTGTTTAAGATATGCTGTGGGGCCTGATGTGTATTGTCGGAATATAGAAATGGGATTTGAGGACTTCAATATCTGAGATATAGGTGAGAGGATTATTCTAGGAGAGGGTGGGTGAGATTTTGCAGCCTGCATTGTACAGGGGGTCAGACTAGATTATTATAATGGTCTCTTCTGACCTTAAAGTCTATGAGTCTATGAGACAGAGCATGACAGGGAAACAAGCAGTTTAAAGAACCACAGTACAATAAAATTATAGATGTTTGTGTGTTAAAGAAAAGATGCTCTGTCCAGATGGTACACTTGCTTGTTGATCCTGTTTGAGTATTTTTGAGTTGTCTTTTAGATGATGTTGGCATGGCTCTAACACTTTCTGTAGATGATCTCAAACTTTCACTGTGAAGAAATCCACTTTCATAAGGTTCTAGGGCAGGGATGGGCAAGATGCGGCTCAGGGGCCAGATCAGGCCCACCTAACACTTTGATCTGGCCCACAGACTGCATCTGACCACTTCTATTTAGATCCTGCTGCCCCTGCCACTGAATTTCTAGGTGGTGGCTCAGGCAGCAGGATCCTATATAAATGGCTCATGGCTCCCAGTTGTGGTGCTACCCCAGCAGGGGCGGAGCCGCAAGCCCTTTAAATAGCTGTAGCAATTCCAGGCAGCTGCCAGACAACTCAATAGCAGCAGAGTTGTGAGCAGTGTTCCCTCTAAGCTGCGCGGCATGGGGTTGATTGACTGGGAGGGGCTGATTAATCACTGGTGAAGCTGTGCCGAGCAGCTTAGCGGGAACACTGTTGGTGAGCCCTTTGCTGTGTTTTTAATTCAAAGCCTCCGGCCCCAGACAACTCTGGGGGAAAGGCTAGTCTCCAGCCTGTCCCTTCCATCCTAAGTCCCACCCTTTTCAGGGGTGGAGCAGACCTAAGACCACGTACCAAAATTAATTGTTACGCCCCCCTCCCCTGAAAATTATTGCCCACTCCTGTTCTAGGGGTAATTGCTAAGGCTGCATGCAACAGTCAGAGACCCTGATATTCTGGGATCTTTGTGAAGATTGAAGATGTGAAAAAATCTTTGGAAGCTTGAATGGATATAAAGTAATACTGTCCAAAGCAAAAGTAGATAGGAGGTAGTTCAGGGGTTTATTAAAGATTCTTAGTTAGACGTTGTCATTTGGGGTAATTGTTTTTAATGCCTTCTAATGTTTACCCCTGAGCTCTTTATAAAGGATATTTATGCCATGGAATATTAAATTTGTATTCTGATCAATATCTTCTTCTATGCTCTGAGTTGTATGTTAAGGACTTCCTGCAAAGTATCCCCCCCATCTTCTTACACCAGTAGCCCAGCAGTCCTCCCCTTCCCACCTTGCCCCCATGCTTTCTTTTCCCTCTTCCCCACACTACCGTTTCCTAATTTCTCTCATCGTGCATTGTGTGCCTCCACCTCCCTCCCTATACTAGCATTGCCCATTCTCATCCCGCCAGAGGTTCTGTGTGCACTCCTTCCCCCATGCCAGAGGCTCTGTTTGTCTCCTGTTTCTCTCTTCCCTCTCACGCTATGATAGAGATTCTGCATTCACCTCACCCTTACCAGTGTCCCCCATTCTCCCCCCATGTCAGGGCTATATGCATGTCCCCATTCCCCACTCCTCTTACTGTCTGGGAGAGAAGTTCTTTCAGGATGTCAACATGTTAAACTTTGCTTCTAAATTGACTGAGACTAAATAATGAATACCTTTTTTTGGCTCCTTTACCAAAATTAGCTGCATTCTTGTACAGTATAATTCTCGTACTTGCCTTTTTCTTATTTGTTGATTATAGTTGATTATGGTAAGATTTGACACTGATCAAAGTTGCATTGAAATTCTGTATTGCTTTAACTGATGAATATGTAATTTAATATCTTACTAGTAAAGTGCCATTGTACTGTTGTTTTGAATGAGACACTGGTGTTAATTTTGGCCGTTTTTTATCCTGACCTGTTAATGTGACAACACTTGAAAAGCAAGAAACATAAACCTGACAATCTATTATATATAGCTTTTTGTAGATTGTTATATGTTCAATAATTATTACAATTTTTTGTAGGAGTGACATGTTTTTTTTCTTATTCTAGCATTATAAAAATTATTACTCTGTAGTTTTGGTCTTGGCTTGTTCACAGATCTTTTAAAAAAAAAAGTTAGAGATGGCAAAATATATTAAAATGGTAAGGTTGATTCAGCCCACTTAACGATCATATTTGCCAGAAATTTGATAAATGTTCCTGTTGAACAAAAAGCATCTGTCTTCAGTAGCAGTCTGAATGGTAGCTGTAGATTGCTTTTAAGAATTATTCCTTAGTTTTTGAACACTGAATTGAAATAAAAAAATGAGAAAAACAGCAAAGGGCTAGATATTTATTAAATTACTCAGTACGTAGCTTGCTGTTCCATATTAAATCTTCTCCAATAAACTATTATGAAATAAAGTAATATTAAACTGTTAAAACTGAGTGCATATTGAACACATTTTAAGCATCTCTTCAGTATTTCAGAGAGCTCAGCTATTGCATTGTTTTGCATTTTCCAGGTGCATGTAATCAGAGAGGTGGCAACCATGGCTCAGGATAAGCTAGGCGTGTCCTGTGAAGTAATTGACCTGAAGACCATTTTACCTTGGGATAATGAGACTGTTTGCAAGGTAGAACTATAATGCTATTTAATACATAAAACATTATTTTGGTTGATGTACCTAAGAGCATATACAAAATTGAATAATGAGTGTAACGGGGACAGCTCTTTGTGTATATATAGTCCAAAATTTCTTGTTTGTTTGTTGTGTTGTAAATAATTGTATGCACAGTAAATATAAAGGAAACATTTACAGAATATCACATGTCTCATTATCATTAAAGGGAGGATAACAGTTTAGACTACTGATAGTGGTGTTACCAGCTTGTTCTTTTTAAGGATTTTTATAATTTCTTTTCCAGCATTACAGGGTTTTAACAACATAGATTTAAGGCAGGTACATCGAGTTCTTGAAAATCACTTTTTTTGTTTCTGTGTCTGGCTCTGTCTATCGTCTTCTGGCATCCTTATGTCCATGGAATTTAGCTGGAATTATTTCAATGTGATTTTTCTTTGCATTCAGTGATTACAGTTTTGTCTAATTATACGTGGGCAATGACGTTTATGACCTGGCTGATTTGTTACGGCTGTTTTCTTTAAAAAAATAAAAAGCGGCTTTGGTTTTTGTTTTGTTTAAAGATAGAAGCACTTTAGCATTTTTTGTATTTCAGAGCATTAGAGGGTCAATATCCATCAATATGGCATTTGATTTGAAATTCAGCTTCCCTGGAATCACAGGTTCAAATACTGGTATCGTTGAAAGGTAGATCGTAAATATAATAACTTGTAGTAAAGGAATCTTTCAGATGGGACTTAAAAAATAAGGTAATGAACAGCTTCACTGGAAGTTGAAATACCATGTATTAAGAGCAACTATAACTTTGTTCCCCTTGTTCTACTTGTGACTTTTCTTCATTCTGCTGCTTCTTTTTCAAGGGTCATGGGACAATAAGCACTTTGGAGACTTTTTTTGAAAACAGATTCTGCTTGGATGGGTGGGGTGGGAGGTGGAAGAGGCACTTAAAGAAGGTTTTAAATATCTGTAACCCTCATCCCTCCACTTATGGCACCTGGACATTTGGCAGAAAGTTGCTGGTAAAGAGATTGGTACTTCTTTATATTCCAAGTGAAGCTAGATTTAAATATGAAGCACTAAGTACTGAAGTTAAAGCTTCAGAGAGGTGAGAATTCAAAACATTCAGTTGAAGTTAGAAAATTTCAAATGTTCTTTTGATGTTTTGATAAAAGCTAAAGTTTTGATATGATTGGAAATTAAATATAGTGAAACTTGAGTAAAACGTTCTGTGCCCCGCTTAGCAAATATATAACATAGAGGCTACGTCTACACTGGCATGATTTTCCGGAAATGCTTTTAACGGAAAAGTTTTCCGTTCAAAGCATTTTTGGAAAAGCACGTCTAGATTGGCACGGGCGCTTTTCCGCAAAAGCACTTTTTACGGAAAAGCATCCGTGCCAATCTAGATGCGGTTTTGTGCAAAAAAACCCCGATCGCCATTTTAGCCATCGGGGCTTTTTTGCGCAAAACAGTACTGTGTTGTCTACACTGGCCCTCTTGCGCAAATGATTTCTGCAAGAAATCAGTATTTCTGCAAGAACATTGACAATCTTACATGAGATCGTCAGTGTTCTTGCGGAAATTCAAGCGACCAGTGTAGACAGCTGGCAAGTTTTTAGTGGCATATACAGAATACATGATAGTGTTGTTTGATATTGAGACCTTATTGGTACTCCTTAGGAACAAACTGCATAAGTTACTTGCGATTCCACCACCCAGAAGTAATGGTAACCATTACAAATCATGTTGATAAAATCTTTATTTAAGCCACACCACCATGTATACTTTGTTTACATACTATCTCTTGTTTTAGTGATCATTAGGGCATTGTTACTGGGTATCCATGGTATTCAGGGTTTTTTTAATGTATTGGATATGGAGCATTGTAATGAACAGGTAACTCAATATCCCTGCCACGCACCATTTGTAGTCTGACCTAGTGTGTTAAGTGATGTTACTACTCCACATGAATTTGGGCATATTGTTTCCAATACAGTATTAATAAATAAATTACATATCATTTGTTTTGATTTTCAAAAAAAAAAATGTCTTGGTCAAGTGTCACATAGTATGAGAATCTAAACTTTATTGCCTCCTTTTTAAACTTGTATTTACTCAGTGGAACAAGTTCCTGTGGAGCCATACTACATTCCTCTGTCTCAAGCTGAGGTACTTCAGGAGGGAAGTGATGTTACACTGGTTGCCTGGGGGACTCAGGTCAGTAAGTCTTGTTTAAGATATGCTGTGGGGCCTGATGTGTATTGTCGGAATATAGAAATGGGATTTGAGGACTTCAATATCTGAGATATAGGTGAGAGGATTATTCTAGGAGAGGGTGGGTGAGATTTTGCAGCCTGCATTGTACAGGGGGTCAGACTAGATTATTATAATGGTCTCTTCTGACCTTAAAGTCTATGAGTCTATGAGACAGAGCATGACAGGGAAACAAGCAGTTTAAAGAACCACAGTACAATAAAATTATAGATGTTTGTGTGTTAAAGAAAAGATGCTCTGTCCAGATGGTACACTTGCTTGTTGATCCTGTTTGAGTATTTTTGAGTTGTCTTTTAGATGATGTTGGCATGGCTCTAACACTTTCTGTAGATGATCTCAAACTTTCACTGTGAAGAAATCCACTTTCATAAGGTTCTAGGGCAGGGATGGGCAAGATGCGGCTCAGGGGCCAGATCAGGCCCACCTAACACTTTGATCTGGCCCACAGACTGCATCTGACCACTTCTATTTAGATCCTGCTGCCCCTGCCACTGAATTTCTAGGTGGTGGCTCAGGCAGCAGGATCCTATATAAATGGCTCATGGCTCCCAGTTGTGGTGCTACCCCAGCAGGGGCGGAGCCGCAAGCCCTTTAAATAGCTGTAGCAATTCCAGGCAGCTGCCAGACAACTCAATAGCAGCAGAGTTGTGAGCAGTGTTCCCTCTAAGCTGCGCGGCATGGGGTTGATTGACTGGGAGGGGCTGATTAATCACTGGTGAAGCTGTGCCGAGCAGCTTAGCGGGAACACTGTTGGTGAGCCCTTTGCTGTGTTTTTAATTCAAAGCCTCCGGCCCCAGACAACTCTGGGGGAAAGGCTAGTCTCCAGCCTGTCCCTTCCATCCTAAGTCCCACCCTTTTCAGGGGTGGAGCAGACCTAAGACCACGTACCAAAATTAATTGTTACGCCCCCCTCCCCTGAAAATTATTGCCCACTCCTGTTCTAGGGGTAATTGCTAAGGCTGCATGCAACAGTCAGAGACCCTGATATTCTGGGATCTTTGTGAAGATTGAAGATGTGAAAAAATCTTTGGAAGCTTGAATGGATATAAAGTAATACTGTCCAAAGCAAAAGTAGATAGGAGGTAGTTCAGGGGTTTATTAAAGATTCTTAGTTAGACGTTGTCATTTGGGGTAATTGTTTTTAATGCCTTCTAATGTTTACCCCTGAGCTCTTTATAAAGGATATTTATGCCATGGAATATTAAATTTGTATTCTGATCAATATCTTCTTCTATGCTCTGAGTTGTATGTTAAGGACTTCCTGCAAAGTATCCCCCCCATCTTCTTACACCAGTAGCCCAGCAGTCCTCCCCTTCCCACCTTGCCCCCATGCTTTCTTTTCCCTCTTCCCCACACTACCGTTTCCTAATTTCTCTCATCGTGCATTGTGTGCCTCCACCTCCCTCCCTATACTAGCATTGCCCATTCTCATCCCGCCAGAGGTTCTGTGTGCACTCCTTCCCCCATGCCAGAGGCTCTGTTTGTCTCCTGTTTCTCTCTTCCCTCTCACGCTATGATAGAGATTCTGCATTCACCTCACCCTTACCAGTGTCCCCCATTCTCCCCCCATGTCAGGGCTATATGCATGTCCCCATTCCCCACTCCTCTTACTGTCTGGGAGAGAAGTTCTTTCAGGATGTCAACATGTTAAACTTTGCTTCTAAATTGACTGAGACTAAATAATGAATACCTTTTTTTGGCTCCTTTACCAAAATTAGCTGCATTCTTGTACAGTATAATTCTCGTACTTGCCTTTTTCTTATTTGTTGATTATAGTTGATTATGGTAAGATTTGACACTGATCAAAGTTGCATTGAAATTCTGTATTGCTTTAACTGATGAATATGTAATTTAATATCTTACTAGTAAAGTGCCATTGTACTGTTGTTTTGAATGAGACACTGGTGTTAATTTTGGCCGTTTTTTATCCTGACCTGTTAATGTGACAACACTTGAAAAGCAAGAAACATAAACCTGACAATCTATTATATATAGCTTTTTGTAGATTGTTATATGTTCAATAATTATTACAATTTTTTGTAGGAGTGACATGTTTTTTTTCTTATTCTAGCATTATAAAAATTATTACTCTGTAGTTTTGGTCTTGGCTTGTTCACAGATCTTTTAAAAAAAAAAGTTAGAGATGGCAAAATATATTAAAATGGTAAGGTTGATTCAGCCCACTTAACGATCATATTTGCCAGAAATTTGATAAATGTTCCTGTTGAACAAAAAGCATCTGTCTTCAGTAGCAGTCTGAATGGTAGCTGTAGATTGCTTTTAAGAATTATTCCTTAGTTTTTGAACACTGAATTGAAATAAAAAAATGAGAAAAACAGCAAAGGGCTAGATATTTATTAAATTACTCAGTACGTAGCTTGCTGTTCCATATTAAATCTTCTCCAATAAACTATTATGAAATAAAGTAATATTAAACTGTTAAAACTGAGTGCATATTGAACACATTTTAAGCATCTCTTCAGTATTTCAGAGAGCTCAGCTATTGCATTGTTTTGCATTTTCCAGGTGCATGTAATCAGAGAGGTGGCAACCATGGCTCAGGATAAGCTAGGCGTGTCCTGTGAAGTAATTGACCTGAAGACCATTTTACCTTGGGATAATGAGACTGTTTGCAAGGTAGAACTATAATGCTATTTAATACATAAAACATTATTTTGGTTGATGTACCTAAGAGCATATACAAAATTGAATAATGAGTGTAACGGGGACAGCTCTTTGTGTATATATAGTCCAAAATTTCTTGTTTGTTTGTTGTGTTGTAAATAATTGTATGCACAGTAAATATAAAGGAAACATTTACAGAATATCACATGTCTCATTATCATTAAAGGGAGGATAACAGTTTAGACTACTGATAGTGGTGTTACCAGCTTGTTCTTTTTAAGGATTTTTATAATTTCTTTTCCAGCATTACAGGGTTTTAACAACATAGATTTAAGGCAGGTACATCGAGTTCTTGAAAATCACTTTTTTTGTTTCTGTGTCTGGCTCTGTCTATCGTCTTCTGGCATCCTTATGTCCATGGAATTTAGCTGGAATTATTTCAATGTGATTTTTCTTTGCATTCAGTGATTACAGTTTTGTCTAATTATACGTGGGCAATGACGTTTATGACCTGGCTGATTTGTTACGGCTGTTTTCTTTAAAAAAATAAAAAGCGGCTTTGGTTTTTGTTTTGTTTAAAGATAGAAGCACTTTAGCATTTTTTGTATTTCAGAGCATTAGAGGGTCAATATCCATCAATATGGCATTTGATTTGAAATTCAGCTTCCCTGGAATCACAGGTTCAAATACTGGTATCGTTGAAAGGTAGATCGTAAATATAATAACTTGTAGTAAAGGAATCTTTCAGATGGGACTTAAAAAATAAGGTAATGAACAGCTTCACTGGAAGTTGAAATACCATGTATTAAGAGCAACTATAACTTTGTTCCCCTTGTTCTACTTGTGACTTTTCTTCATTCTGCTGCTTCTTTTTCAAGGGTCATGGGACAATAAGCACTTTGGAGACTTTTTTTGAAAACAGATTCTGCTTGGATGGGTGGGGTGGGAGGTGGAAGAGGCACTTAAAGAAGGTTTTAAATATCTGTAACCCTCATCCCTCCACTTATGGCACCTGGACATTTGGCAGAAAGTTGCTGGTAAAGAGATTGGTACTTCTTTATATTCCAAGTGAAGCTAGATTTAAATATGAAGCACTAAGTACTGAAGTTAAAGCTTCAGAGAGGTGAGAATTCAAAACATTCAGTTGAAGTTAGAAAATTTCAAATGTTCTTTTGATGTTTTGATAAAAGCTAAAGTTTTGATATGATTGGAAATTAAATATAGTGAAACTTGAGTAAAACGTTCTGTGCCCCGCTTAGCAAATATATAACATAGAGGCTACGTCTACACTGGCATGATTTTCCGGAAATGCTTTTAACGGAAAAGTTTTCCGTTCAAAGCATTTTTGGAAAAGCACGTCTAGATTGGCACGGGCGCTTTTCCGCAAAAGCACTTTTTACGGAAAAGCATCCGTGCCAATCTAGATGCGGTTTTGTGCAAAAAAACCCCGATCGCCATTTTAGCCATCGGGGCTTTTTTGCGCAAAACAGTACTGTGTTGTCTACACTGGCCCTCTTGCGCAAATGATTTCTGCAAGAAATCAGTATTTCTGCAAGAACATTGACAATCTTACATGAGATCGTCAGTGTTCTTGCGGAAATTCAAGCGACCAGTGTAGACAGCTGGCAAGTTTTTCCGCAAAAGCAGCTGCTTTTGGGGAAACATTGGCCAGTCTAGACACAGCCAGTGTGTATAGGAGTGTGTCAACTTAGAAATATTAAAAGAAATTTGAACTTCTGGTCTCAGCTCTAAAATCTTTTTGTAGAAGGAAAAGTAAAATTTTTCTTTTACATTTTTAGATTTTTGGGACAATCAGAGTAATCTTCAAGGTTTGGGGGAAAAAATGGAAGTGTCGCATTAAAGTCTTCAGGTTTTCTTATTTCCTTATTTGACTAAGATGATCCCGGCACCTCAAAGTGATTAATTAAAAATAGAGTTTGAAAATCTTGGATGTGACATAATATAGGTCCTTGCCAATACAAAAGTAGGAGAGTGATTCTGCTGGAGATGATTTTTTTTTCTTCTTGGAATTGCCTACCAATTCTTTGCTGCCCGAGCAAAGAAAGCAAATTCCATTACTTGTAATGAATGGGAAAATCTAATGCTGAGGTTATTTCAGAATGTAATTATTCCAGATGTCTAAGTTTTTCCTGTTTTTGGATTCTTTTTCTTATTTTTCCACCCTCAACTCGTATATTAACATGACCAACATGTAGATTTTTTTCTGGTAAACCTTTATGCCTTAAGATTCGTAATTCATATTAAGTCTTTTTACTCTCAGTCACTTTCCTCTCTTTTTATATGTGTTTTGTGGGGAGAACAGTTTTTTTATTGTGGTAATGGGCATTTTAGACTAGAGTATATTGAGGAAAAATGGACTTTGTCTTGTATAAATAAGAGTTGCATGTGTTTTCCTGTTATCTGTGTCCTTTCCTCCTTGTTTGGGAAATGGAGAAGAGGTGGTTTTCATTCTGGGTATGTTCATGTTTGACTTACATTGGAGGTTAAAAATACAGAGACAGTCCTGTGTATTCTGTTGAGACACTAAAGGTCCCAGACCATACATGATAGGGCTCTGTGCCTCTGCACTGCTTCCTAGCCTCCTTCTAGGTCAGGGATGGATAATAATTTTTAATGGGGGGCCACTCCAAGATTTTGGTAAGTGGTAAAGGGCTGCACTTCTGTGGAGGGGGTGTGCAGTCTGTGATGGAGGCTGGGTGCAGATAGTGGACTGGGGTGCAGAAGGGTCTGAGGGATCTGAGAGCAAGTTTGAGTGAAGGAGGATGCTGTGATCTGGGACAGAAGCTTGGGGTGCACGGTCCAGTAGGGGTATGGGTGCAGGAGAGGATTATTTTGTTTATTTTCTAGAACATGGGATTGGGCTTTAACAACAACCTCTACAGTAGCAGTTTCAATATTGTCTTGATAAATGTAAAATGCTTTGGAATTTGATGCTCTAAATAGGAGCTGTGTACACAGTGTACTTAACTGGTCATGGTAGATGCTTGAGGAAGAGGAAAAGAAAGAGGCATATTTCCCCCAGTACTTTGGAGCAGCTTTGTGGTTGCTACATAGAAGTTACTTCATTTCAATAAATGCTGTCAGATAAACATTGCAAACAGTAGTTTCTCCTCTCCCTAAACCAAACAATAACCAGACAGGAATAAAATTAAGTCTACAGTGCCCCAACTAACTTACAAATATTAGCTGTACATCAGCATGGGTAAATAGATGGGTCTTGTTGCCCTCCCTGGATGTCAAAAGATTTGGATTGCTTTATATCAAGCAAGAGGGTAAATTAATAGAATGTGTAAATTTTGAAGCATTTTTGAATGCCTTCATTTCTGTATACCCTTTATTTAATACTCTGTTCTATTCCCTAATTATATTTGGACCTAGTATTCAAACTATAGAGGGATATATGTTGATAAAATGGATTCAAAATAGTAATAGATTTTAATCTGCTTAATCTGTGTTAGGGAAATTGTCAATCTTTACAGTTATAGATGTTTATAAGGAGTTATTGGTAGGAGTAAAAAATTGCTTGTACATTGCACTTATTTAAATTGCATAAGTGACGTCAACAGTGTCATCAGATATCTGACACAGATCTTCTCTCATAGATTAATTAACCAGATAGAAGAAGAATGCTGTTCAGAGGAGTATATATATACTTGGGATTGGATATTGTTATTAATTCTTCAATCGCTTTAAATGTAAAACTGTTTTTTACAAAATCTGATGAAACAAATGATATTGGAATATTAAAACATGGTGGAAAAACAATGCATTATAACTACTAACATAGTTATAATACATTGTATCCAAATACAGTAAACCTGTCTCCCAATATATTATACCTCATGGGTTTACTGTCCTCTAAAGCTGAACATGGCAAGAAGTATTGGTCAGATTCTCAATCATGCTGCAGTGTCTTGATGCAGGCCTGCATGTGCATAGCAGCTGTAAGCTCAGGATAACTGATGAATGGAGCTTTCCTTTTCTGCAAAATGACTCTTCTAGTATTATAATGTTTCCATAATGGCACTTGAACCTTCTGATCTCAATGTTGTCATATGGAATATAGCCCAGGAGTGAGAATGTCCTGCCTGCTGTAGGAACAACTCCTGAAGGGCTGTTTGCAAACAGCATAAGCCTTTGTTTACACACGCAAGTTGAGCTGTTTTTAGCCATACCAGTGTTATTAAAGCGATTCCTCCACAAGTCTCGGAAGTGTGAGTGCATTTGTGCTGCTATAAAGATATTTTTGTGAAGGGTAAAGGGTTAACTGGTTACCCAGTATACATTGCCTAACTAGCATGTTTACCAGGGTAACTGGCACCTGGTCCAACAGAAGAAGCCCCCTGCCCATGGCGTGCTGTGGGCGGGGGTGGGGGAGGTGTTTCAGTCCCTCCAGGCCTGCTGTGCCTCTGGCATGCCAGGTTGTGCCAGTTAACATTGTAAACAGGATTTTACATCTCTAATATGTACATAGTTCATTCTGGTATAGAGAAAGGAGAGTAAGCTCTGTTGGTGTTAGGTACTGTTTACCAGTGAACTGCATTCACACTAAGGATGCAGTACCTGTATAATCTCTTCAGTAAAAAAATAACAACGACCCTCCCCAAAACCCAACTGACATAGCTCAAACAAAAACTGTAATTGCAGTGTGGACTAGTAGATAGAGCACAGGACTGGGATACTGTAAGTCTGGGTTCTATTCCCTACTTGGCTGTTGGTTTAGAATCTGGATGCAGTCCAGAATCTGGACCTCTGTGTTTAAAATGTAATTTTCTTTGGGCTGAAGTAAGTGCTAGTGTGAAAGAGCCTGAAGACTTCACTTGCCCCTAGTTTGTCTCCTCAGCCATCTGCCTGAGCCATGTAGAGGTCCATCCCAGATCCTTCTCTGACTATGGGTCTCTCCTGTGTGATGCCTGTTCCTAAAAGGCAAGAAGCCTTGTATCTGGCTTTTTGTAGGTCACATGCTTGCACCTCACTATGTGCCCTGTGGC